GAAAATAATTTTGTTTTAACACTGTCTGGGCCATGTTTTGCAGACCCAACAAAACATACCTGAGGGAAAAATTCAGGACTCTAACTTAATAACTTAGATATTTAACCCTTATGACCAGCCCTATAACATTCTACTTTATTATTGCCATTTTAAAAGTAAAGAAACTGAATCTGCAAGAAGTTAAGTTACTTGTCCAAGGTCACAAAATAGAAAGTCATGAAGGGTGAGTGTTAAGATTTGAATCCAAGCAGTCTTATTCCAAAGTCTGAGCTCCTAACCACCTGTTCTGTGTGTAATAAGATACACGTAAGGTACAGAAGCAAGTTCTACCCTGATGTCTCCTGATACTCACATGGAAAATGATAGAATCAGAGGGTAAATAAACAAATAAATGGACAATAAGACGGGTTGTCTGATGAATCCAGAACAGATCAGGACTATGTTCTTTCATTTGATATTCTACATTTCCCCAGCAAAGCCCAAAAACGTGTTAGCCTTTTTATTGGTTACAATAAAGTGTGATTCATAATGAGAATGACCTTACTGTTATTTAAATAACTAAAACTAAGTCTTTTTTTTTTTTTTTTTTAACTCCAGTTCTTTTTCAGAGGAAGAAGACTATTGCTGGCTTCAGTAATCAGAAACAGTTCTATGAAAGGATTGTGTCCTATGAAAGACAGAGTATACATGTAAGTATTTACACATGCAAATATTTGAGAAAATGCTTGAGCTACACTTTAGTCCTTTTTTTTTCTTTGGAGACAGAGTCTTTCTCTGTCCAGGCTGGAGTGCAGTGGCATGATCACAGCTCACTGCAGCCTCAAACTCCTGGGCTCAAGGGATCCTCTTGCCTCTGCCTCCTGAGTAAATGAGACCACCACCACGGTCTCAGTAGGCACACACCACTATGCCTGCCTGATTTTAAAAAATTTTTTTTGGTAGAGACAGCGTCTTGCCATCTTGTGCATCTCAGTCTCGATCTCCTGGTCTCCAATAATCCTCCCCTCACCCAAAGTGTGGAAATTACAGGTGTGAGCCACCGCACTCAGCCTACTTTAGTCTTTCCTAAATTCATAGAGAAAAGGAGCTCCAAATAAAGCTATTTAAAATACTATTGGGCCGGGTGTGGTGGCTCATGCCTGTAATCCCAGCACTTTAGGAGGCCAAGGTGGGTGGATCACCTGAGGTCAGGAGTTCAAGACCAGCCTGGCCAACATGGTGAAACCGTCTCTACTAAAAATACAAAAAATTGGCTGGGTATGGTGGTGGGCGCCTGTAATCCCAGCTACTCGGGAGGCTGAGGCAGGAGAATCGCTTGAACCTGGGAGGCAGAGGTTGCAGGGAGCTGAGATCGTGCCACTGCACTCCAGCCTGGGCAACAAGAACAAAACTCCATCTCAAAAAAATATATATAAAAAAATAATAAAATAAAATATAATACTATTGACCAAATGAAGGACTTTTAGGCCTTTATAAGGATTGACTAGATTTTGAACTACACTGTTAATTTGACTCAAATCTGTTTACAACTAAGTAAGTTCCCTGAGAGAACACCACAACATCCTCCCCCACAACTCTTCTTGCAAACTTACGTAAGGTAGGTGCCTCTGGTGTTCACGTTCATCATCAGATCCACTCTCTTAGTAGGTGTGTCCAGTGTGTTGGTCAAGCTAATGGCACTGGCATTATTTACCAGAATATCAATTCCTGTTTTCAAAATTGAAAAATCAATTTCCTTTTAATGTAAGACTTTTTATCACACACCAAAAAAGCATTTACTCTCTTCTGAACCCTCAGTTGATTCACAAATACAGTCATGTACCACACCTAACATCTCAGTCAACAATGGACCATATATGCAACATGGTCCCTTAAGATGATAACACTATATTTTTATTTTATCTTTTTTCTGTCTAAATATGTTCAGATACATACTTACTGTTGGGTTACAAACGCCTACAGTAGTCAGTACAGTAACATGTTATACAGGCTTATAGCCTGGAAGCAATAGGCTATGCCATACAGCCTAGGTATGTGGTCAGCTAGACTATCTAGGTTTCTGTAATTACACTCTACGTTCACACGATCATAAAATTGCCTAATAATGCCTTTCTCAGAACATATCCCCATCATTAAGCAATGCGTGGCTGTACGTCTTTTAGATAATATGACTGAACACTAACAATGCAAGACTGGTAGCTGTTTCAAAATAGCACCTGCATGATTGTCTCTAGCACCATGGAGACATAGCCAATTGCCAGAGCTCCACATGAAACTAAAAGGAGGCTTAGTCTTTGGTGGTTTGTAGCTTCCACTCTTATCTGTTCTCTTACCTCCTGGTTGTCCCTCCCTGTCTCCATAAACCTTGGATCAAATTCCTTAAAGTCTTCCTTCCTCTCTAGCATGAAGTTTCAAAGGCCTGTCCTCCTTCCAAGCATAGTAGTCTCCCTTCCCCCAAGGCCCCTCACTTAAAGGGAAAGGCTCCTTTCTGGTCCTGAGAACTGGGAAAAGAGAAAGACCTACTGTTTCAATCCCAGGCAAATCATCAAAGTGGATCAATTTTGTTTTAGTGACTCATATACACACACACAAAAAATAAACCAAAGTAACTACTATTTCTGCAAATTCTATCTAGCTTCCACCTATAAGCAACAAGTTTTGTTTACAGTTATATGCTTAGTGAAATAACATTAAAGGAAAATGGTAAAATACAAAAACTATGTCAAACATTTTTTATTTGTTTCTATCTGGTCTTCATTATTCTTTGTAAGGTGCACTTAATGATAGTTGTGTAACAATATAATAAACTTGGACGTCACTGAACTGTACACTGAAAAATAGGATGGTAAATTTTATGTTATGTGTATTTTACCACAATTTTTAAAAGTTAAATAATAAACGCAAGCCTAGGGACAATGGCTCATGCCTGTAACCCCAGCACTTT